AGCCCTCATGTCTGGCGTATGATTTATCTATTCGTCCCCCTGCACTGGAGATAGGAATAGTGAGCTGACGTGATTCGTTCTAGTGACATTTTGTATGTTCATGTTTGGCGTGGTCATGATTTGCCAAGGATTGGTCTCAAACTGGGGTGGATTAATGACCACTCGCTTCTTCTTGGGCCTGTTTGAAGCTGGCATGTTCCCTGGATGTAAGTTTGCATGATGCGCCAAACAACGCACGAAGGCGAGAGGGCTAATATTTATTCTAGGCTTCTACTTGCTAGGAATGTGGTATACCCGAACCGAAGCTCAAAAGCGATTCAGTTTCTTCTTTAGTTCGACAACCCTGGCAGGCGCTTTCGGTGGTCTTCTCGCCTACGGTATCGCTCAAATGGACGGAGTCCGCGGATATATGGGCTGGCGCTGGGTCTTCATTATCGAGGGTCTGATTACCTCCGTGGTTGCGATGATCCTTTTCTTCTTTATTTCCGATTTCCCAGAGGAAGTCAAGTGGTTGACTGACGAGGAACGCGAATTTGTGCGTGCAAAGCTGGCGAGGGATGTGGGCAAGTCCGCCCATACAACAAAGATAGGAACACGCCAAGTGTTGGAAGTCTTCAAGGATTGTAAGTCGACAACCAGAGTTTTAGCATCTTGTTTGTACACTTGTTGACATTGTTACAGGGAAAGTTATTATCGGTGGCTTTATGTATTTCGGTCTCATCGTTCCAGCATATGGTTAGTTGCCATGTCCGCTCAAGGTTGTCTTGCATAATTGTTCTAACTTGCTCCAGGCTACGCTTACTTCGCCCCAACTATTATCCAGTCCTTTGGCTACGATTGTATGCGCTGCCCCTACCCAGCCCTCTGATATTCCTACTGACATTTACTCTCTAGCTGTCAAAACCCAGCTCTACTCCATTCCGCCATGGGCTGCTGCGTTTGGTTTCTCAATGGTTGTCGCCTTCTTCTCTGATCGCTTGCGCCACCGTTTTGCATTTACATTGATTCCAATTGCAATTGCCATTACCGGGTTCGCCATGCTCCTAGGAATTCACAACAAGTTCCACGTCGAGTACGGTGCTTTGTTCTTGGTGACTTGCGGTGCCTACAGTGCGATGCCGGTCATTGTTTGTTGGTTTGCTATGAACCTGGGCGGCCATCACCGTCGAAGCGTCGGTACAGCCTGGCAGGTGGGATTCGGCAACATCGGCGGTATTATCTCGACATTTGCATTTAACACTGACAAGGGGACTTTTACGACTGGTTACAGTGTCTGTGTGGCATTCTGCGGCTTGTCTGTTATAGCCTGCTGCATATACTACGTGGCACTTGTGTTGGATAACCGCAAGAAGGACGCTATCGCAGCGAACCGCGACCCGAATGCTATTTCGGAGACGGAGGAAGAGCTGATGGGTGATCTGGCACCGAACTACCGGTACAACTATTAAAGAAGAGCTCGGGTGGAAGGAGCTTTGTACCAATGGAAATGGTTCCAAGGATATGAGCTTCCCGATTTGGGGACAGAGGTTGTCGATGACTTAACGCAGAGCTTAAATGATGCAAGCTATGAACATGCTAGGGCTCGGGATAGAGCTTAAGCTATCTATGTAATTGCTGAAAATACGCACATATATAATATTATCAATTGAGATGAATCCACAATTTTGAATTTTTTTTTTCACTAGTCACTCGTTTATTTCTCTTGACTCGAATCCTTTTATTACTGTGGCTGTCAGTGAACCCTAGTTTTCGATGCCATTCCGTCACGTGTCCCCATACATCATGTCTTCCCAAAGCGGCTAGCGCGACTCGCTTAGCGAATCCGCCGCCCACTTCAAATGCGCAGGCCGCTGCACTTTCCATCTTTCTTTCTACTATCTCTCCTCATCCTCGCAGAAGTGAGTCGCCACCCTAAGCTCCAAACCTTGGATCATTCCTCGGAAACAGCATCCTCGTTCGATATGGACATGCCTTGCTAACCTGTTCCCCCAGATCTACGAAGATGAGAGCTAAGTGGAGAAAGAAGCGCGTTCGTCGTCTCAAGCGCAAGCGCAGAAAGATGCGCGCGAGATCGTGAGTTATCCCGTTCAGCAAGCCGGGGAATATTTCCGGCTGTCTGAATTCGAATTGCGTCACTAACAATCGCCTCAGCAAATAAACTACTCGCCCCTCCCATCTCAGCTCCTCATGTCGAGGCCCATGTTTGAACGCTGAACACGACAAAATGAATTGATACGACTTCTTCCTCGTTTATCGTTTCCCGCCTCTCAATTTACCTACCCGGACATGTTTTCCGCCGCCATCTACAGACGAAATCACAGTATCTACCGACGGAATCTGCCGTTCAAACGACTCCGTTCCTTTATCACTTTCAATCCCTTCGGATTCATTTTCAAACGTCGGTCGATCTGCTGCTGGGTCAGGTTATCTCGGGGAGGCTCGTGTGTTCGGTTGAGGGTTGAACGACCAGCCTATCTGACTGGTCGTTGAGCTCGGCACCTGGGGTGACTGGTCAACTGCTTATCCAAACCTTCCCCAGGGAACTCGTTCCCTTTGGTCGGTGCCATGGAGAGGTTATTTCCGAGAGTTTCACTCACGTCACAACAAAACCAAAACTGAACCAAGCTCGGAGGTTTTTGGTTTCGATAGCTATGCTTGACAATCGATGACTTTACGAGCACTACTACTTCTTCATATCGTAAATTGTAACTTCGTAATTATAACTCTCCGCATCAAGTAAGCTCACGCAACCTTTTGTATCAGCCATTGGACTATCCAAATATTGTATTTCTGATATTCTCCATTTCGTCACTGAATTCCCACTTGTGCGGCCGTTCTGTGTGGATCCTTCACCGCCTGCCCGACAATCGCCGCTAGGAAATTTTTCTGCCCCGACAACTTTTTGACATTCGATTGCACAGCTTCATTGAGGATCACTAGAGATCTTTCTTGCGGTTTTTCACCATGCCGTCCGATAAAACAGAAAAGAAGCGCAAGCGCGCCTCTGATCGTCACGAACGTCCCACCAAAAAGGCTGCACTAGGCCTGCAGGCCCTTCCCCCGCTGAAAGCTAGCCTGGTCGAGGATAAGAGCGAGCTAGCGCCAGTTATTGGTAAGTGGAATGGCATTTCAAATACGCAAGCAGGATTGTACTAACGTGAAATTGCTTTCAGCTACCACTCCCGGTGTTCAGAGTGCCAAATCCCTCCGCTGGAACCCATATATCAAAGCCCGTGACAATGTCTCCAAGTCCTCCACATCTCTCCGCAACCCCGGCATTGTCTCGTCAGAAATCCTGCTTCAGTCCTCCCAGCATGAGAAGATGGATTTTGTTGGCCGCGAAGGACATGATGAAGATGCCGACTCCCAGTTGAAGCACTACGTTGCGGTTGTGGACCCCGAGCGCAAGACCTGGCAGATTGTGGAGGCCCGCCGAGTCACTCTGCGTGGCTCTGTACGCTCTCACAAGGCTTCCGAAGAGGACTCAGAGTCCGAGGAAGAGCTCGTATGTGTTTCGGTACTAATTAACTGGCTAGGATCAGTGCAGCTAACATCAACTATAGAACACAATGCGCGCCCAACGTACTGCCCTTACCAACACTTTCGGTACCAAGCAATCCCGCAAGGCTGTCCAGTCCATGGCAGAGAACGCCCAACTGTCAAGCGCCCCAGCAGGCACCGTCACCGAGGCTGGTGCCGCACTCATTTCCTCCTTGCCCGCCGACGCCACCACCGGCGCAGCAAAGGCAATCGACGTGCAAGCCGCTGTGCAAGCGGCCAAGCCTTTGCCTACCCCAGACCTTACCGCTGCCCACCCATCGGATGTTTACACCATCGAGACCCTGGTCCCCGGTGGACACTCTACTCTGCGCCTGTTGACCGGTGTCGACGAGTGGAAACAACAGGTGGATGCCGGTGTTGCCGTTACTACAGTTTCACGATACGTGTCGAACCGAGTAACTGCCGTTGGCCAATCCGATAACTCAACACACTTGCAAGTCCTCCGCTTCATCCAGTTGCTCCTTGAGTTCGCCCGCTCCCTCAAGGGTGCCGGCAACAAGGGTCCTGGCCCGAACAGCAAGCGTCTGCCCCCGCGCGACGAGCTACGCAAAATCCTCTCCAACACATCCGGCGCCAAGCCCGGCAGCGAAGAAGAGGAATCAACCACAGAGCTCCTGCCAGACTCTGTTGTTGACAATGTTCGCCGCCGCTTCGCCTCCAACGGCGGTTTCATGAGCAAGCACGACATGACTCTCCTCCACACCACAATCTGCGCCTTGACACTGCACATTCCTCCCCAACCGGCTCAAGACGGTGGATCCAGCTCTCTGGGTGGTAACTCGCCCAATGAACTCGCTACCGACCCCGCCGATCTCCGTGATGACCTGCGCCTCGACTCGAACACTATCCAGCAATACTTCCGCGAACTGGGGTGCCGTATTGACCGGCCTCGTGAGACTGAGTTCAAGAAGTGGAATATTAAAGGTGGTCGTGCGGAGGCTCATGCACGCCGTGTTGCTCGTCTGAAGATTCCGCTCGAGTTCCCCAAGGTTAGCCGCGGTGGTGGCAAGAGATAGATGTGAAATCTTCCGTTTGGTCTGTTCTGTAGCGGTTAGCTTTCGACATGTAATTAATGTTCGATGGCCAAAATTTTCATGCCTTGTGATATATCCGGCGTTTAGACTTTTTTGAGGTTCTTCAAATGTCTCTATATGAATCAAATATTGTTGCATAAGAAGTGTACTATAACGGTATATCAACTTGAAGACTCGGATTCATGATAGAACACCATAATTATAGGTACCAGTGCAGTATAGTAGATGGGTTCTATCGATTGAAATCCAAGTTGGAACAAACTTCGAAGGTTTTGTCCGATATTTTCAAGTTTGCTACTGGTACTGGTAGTATTATACAGTATCTTCAAGTTTATGGCTGCAGGGGTGACCTCAGGAACTGACTGCCATGGACCCAATCCACCACATCAAGACTTTAATGTTTATCTAACGATTCCGCAATAACCTCGCAGCCTCATCTAGACTGAACTTCTCAAGTGCAAGCTCTGTCCAGAGCACTTGTTGTGCAACTCCTTGCCAAATCATAGATTCTGTGCCACAAAGCATTTTCCATCCTGCACGCTCGCCAAGATTGAAGAACGCTGTACGAGGCCTGGGATGATAACACATCTCGAGAATATAACCTTTCTTATCCTTGTCCAGAAACGTCTGCACGATATTTCTGGCCAAGATTTCCCCCTCTTCCTTGGGTGGAAAGTCTGGTACAGTGCCGACAACCAGAACTGGAGTCTCCAAGGCCGCAGCCTGGTTCACAGAAGAGACCCAAATCAACTTTCCACCAAAGTCAGTTGCTTCAAACGAATCTATGATCGTCCTGACCTCGCTCTCCAGCCTATTCACCATATAAATTTCTTTCACACCCATCCACTTCCATAACGCGTAAATAGCCGCTCGACAGGCCCCGCCACCTCCGATAACAAGACCTGGTTTCCCTGTGGATTTCGAGGCGATGCCAGGGAAGTTTTGCAGGAACGCTTCTCTCACACCGATACAATCAGTGTTGGTACCGATATATCTAGTACTTCCATCGGCCGATTTGCGAAGAAAGACTGTATTGATGGCGCCGATAATTCGGCCTTCGTCCGTAACCTCGTCAACGGCGGACATCATGGTCACTTTGTAGGGCATTGTAACCGCACATCCAATGATATCTGGTTGTTTCAAGGCTGGCAGGAATTCAGACGCATCTTGTGTTTCGAGGAGGGTGTATGTCCACGGTAGGGAGACTCCCTTGAAAAGAGTTGCATGTAGAAGTGGTGCCATGGAGTGGGCAATCGGATAACCTAATAGGAATGCTCGCTGTGAATCTTCACGGCTGGATGAAGTGATACAGGAAGAACCATAGTTATATGACTCTTTCAGAGTACTATCGAGACTGTTGACTGAATTCATAGCGAGAAAGGGCTTTTAGGCGACGGCCAAATTTGTCCGACTAGAGTTCGTGGAATTGAATAAAGTCAAATTCTTTTTTTTGAAAAGATGTCCGTTGGATGCTGCCTGCATGCCTTTCTTATGTTTTCTATCTTCATCTGTGGGGAATAACCGGCTTAGGACGTGGGGAAGTGGCGCAAATCATCTTGCTCTCGGTGGAGGATTTAGCCTGCAGCACGAATCGCTGGTTAAAGTATTATCATGCCGTTCGAGCGTCATTTTAAGTATCGTGCTTATTAGTTCCGGCTACCCGTTACTCCGATAGTATCGGTAAGATTATATCCGGAGAAGTATCAGGCTTGGCGCCCATACTTCAATTTACGTTCAAGCTTGGGATTCTTAAAAGTGCCGAGGTAGTCACCTCCTAGTCCCAGCCCTCCCCGGGGTTTAGTGTATGTATATTGTGGGTAAATGATGGGCATAAGATAAAAGCTCGAAATTGATTGATATCATTGGAAGCGGAACTCGGTAGTAAGGTATATTGTTTTTCTCTGAATACATTTCTCTTAGACAGAAGCAGTGTTCTCCATATGCTGTGTTCCAACCTTATTCTCAACGACCGTCTGTTCGGCCGCTCGCTGATCAGCAATAGCACGTTCTGCGCCTCGGCGCTTGTCAAGTGCGAAGCCGCGGATACTGAAGAGAATATCCATCTCCTCCAATGAAAAGCCCTTAGTCTCCGGCATGAACAAATACACAATAATCAGACCGCACACCACGGAGCTCCCAAAAAAAGGAAAGTACCATACGTGATGTTTACCATCATATAGGGAGTCGAGTAAGTAATTATGAACTGCCCCAGCCACTGGACGCATGTCGTAAAAACGAGAGAAATCGATCGAATACCAGTCGGGAAAACCTCGGCACTGAAGAGAATGTCAAAAATAAAGATAACTTCACTTGTCGTTAGGGGATCCATACCAGAAAACCCACGGGATACCGTTCCAGGAGATGGCGTAAAAAACAGCAAAAATATAGACCATTACAATGGCTATATAAGCACCAGCATCTCTAGTTGCAGGAGTTTCGAAAGACCCAGAGAGTTTGGTGTAGGCACCAAGGTAATACATGGCGACGATGGCGCCCGAAGAGCCAATTATCATAGACTTGCGACGGCCGAGACGGTCAATTCCGAATACCATGAAAAGGATAGTCGCTGTACACTTCACGATGCCGAAGACTCCGGTTGCTAGCAGCCCGACACTAGTACCGGAGAAACCAATGGACTTGAAGATAGTAGGCGAGTAGTAATTGAGTGCGTTAATGCCCGAAAGGTTCTGTAACATCATCAAGGACATGCCAACCAAAAGTCGGTTTCGATTCCTAGGGAGAAACACTTCCTTGATCTTCACGAGGAATGGCTGGCTAGCACCAACCTCAGCTTCATGCCTTAGCTGTTCCTCGATTGTGTCAGCCTCCCACTGGATATAGGCGTCCTCCACGGGAAGTTTTCGGACGAAGGAGAGATTATCAATTGCTTTTGCGCGCTGGCCATTTTTGATCAGCCATCGAGGTGACTCGCGTTGTAGCAGCATAAGTATAACTAGCAGAGTTCCAGGAATAAGCTGTAGGCTAAAGGGAATTCTCCACTGCGCATCAGAAGAACCGGAAATATGCTCATTTACCCCATAGTTGACCCAAAAGCCGATAATCTGAGACAGCTGGAGGACCATTTCGAAAATTCCAATTAGTCGACCTCGGATCGCAGGTGGCGACCATTCTGCGATATACTGAGGAACGATGAGGGAGGAGGCACCGACAGCAAGCCCTTATTTATCCGTCAGCATATATCATATAATAGAAAATAAAATGCGACAAAATACCAGTCAGTGCACGACCGCCGTAGATAAGCCCAAGGTTACCAGAAGAAGCAAGTTGCAAAACAACACCCAAATTAAATAGAATACCGCAAGATAGCAAGGGTATTCTGCGACCAAATTTCTCAGTGAAATATGACACTAGGATAGCCCCAAAAAAGCAGCCAGCCTGGAATGTGCTCACGATGTTGGCACTGAGCGAAGCAAGAGCCTCCTTAGAATCGCTGTCAAGCCCGAACCTGCTCTTAAATGATGGTAAGGTTATGGTACCACCAATAAAGGCTGAGTCGTATCCAAACATGGAAGAGCCCATGCTCGCAGAGATGGCCAAGGCATACACCCGCCAGTTATAAACTGACTTTGGCGCCGGGAAGGCAGAGCTATCCTTGATCTTCAATAGAGAGGGCATTCTGTCCTGGCTGTTGGAACTGTAACAGTATAGAGAAAATGAAATAAATACTGCCACCAAGGGGGTACAGCTGGAATAGTCTAGAGAATAGTGGATCGATGCGCAGTATAAATACAGGTGGGGATAGAGAAATCCGGGGTAAGCAGTCTCCGTACCAGTTGCCCCGCATGGATGTAAATTAGCGGGATCTGAGCTTAGCCGGTTCGCTTGAAGTTTTTTTTTCGCCAATAATCTGGGGTCCGCCGTACAGGGAAACTTAAGGCTTAGAAAAGAGCCGAGTTCTTTCTTGGGGCCGACCGAAGTGGTGCGGTGCAAGGGTAAAGTCTTAGTTATCAAAATTGATGCCTTCGTTCAATTTAGGGTGAACCTATCTCGGATATGTATTAACCTTTTACATTAAACAAACCGGAAAATCAAGACAAAAGCGATTAAGGTTGATTTTGATAGTATCAAAAACCTAGGAATATCTACTGAAGACAATTCTCAATTACCGACCACGGTACAGGCCTCCCTGTGTATTGCACAAACGCCTCCGCAACTGCCGTAACCATGGAGGAAGTAGAACCCAAACCAGTTACGTCGAGTTCCGAAGTCACATTCCCATTTTTTCCTTTGTAGACACTGCACAAATGCGGGTATCCCAACTCCAAGAAGGCAGCTTGTAGAGCGTGCGAGACCTTCTGAGTGACGTTTTCCTTGCCTACCACTGAAACTTCCTGTTTAGGTAGCTGCCCAATGAGGTGACGTGCTTGATGGACTTGCGCTAAAGTGAGTTGACCAGGCGCCGAAGGGAATGGAATCAAGGGGTGGGTGACAAGTGAGATCGGGGACGTAATTCTTGAAAGCTGCCCATTTGCCCCCATCCCCACAGCCAGGAGTGGTTTTGAATATTTTAGCTTGTAATCCCGAACAAACAAGCTAAGCTCGTAGCAATCCTCGATTGTGGGTGAGAGTATACTTAATTTGATGATATCTGCGTCCTGTGATTAGCTTCTTCGCGGACAATATGTAGCTTAATGCGGTATAGAAAACTTACCACCAAACGCATCCGCTGCAGCAAATTTCTGCATGAGCTCTTCGCTCGTCCATCCCACCTTGCCAGTCCAGCTATGGTAGGAGGCCACGACTTTTGTGGAACCCCTTTTCTCCATAATCTCTTTGAGCATAGCCGGAGGCCAATCAATTTCCACATCAACATAGGATATTCCGGACGCAATAGCAAGCAAAATGAGGTCCAAAGCCTCCTTACTCGCATCGTCAGGAAATTTGCCACCTTGCGACTTGGTGCGGATAGTGAAAAGGATGGGCAGGGAAGACATTGCTTGGAGAGCCTCCACCTGCTCCTTGACGTAAACTAAGGAAGGCAGATTCACATCGCCAACCTCATTGCCAGGTGGGCTAAGAAGGTCCACTCTCAATTCCCAAACATCACCGCCATATCCGATTCTTGTGATGATACCCTTAGCATCGCTTATATCTGTGAAAGTCAAGGGTATGATAAAGGTTTGTTTGCCGTTGCCGTAATTTGAGAAGATGATGTCCTTGCTCTGAAGTTGAGACATCGTGGGCCAAGGAAACAAAAAGATAGAGGAGTATTTCCGACGTTGCAACGTTAAAATGTGTCCGAACTCTCAATATTCACCGTACTTAAAAGTTGAGGGTTTATCCAGGCACTCTCGCTTGCTTTACAATTCAGGGATAGGGATCTGGTTTCGGGTAAATAATATCCGTCTTACTTTATTGACCACTTCTTAACTGGTCAAACGTGTTGTCAATCATCTGGAGAAGTGGGGTCGGCTAAATCTTCCTCGGGCCCCCGCATTTTAAAGGGCAACTTTAATAGTAAATTGTTGAACCTCACACATCCGCTTAAGATTTGAGCCCTCTTGGGGAGACAAGAATTGGATTCACCCTAGGTAATATACGGCCTCGATAAACTCGCCGAACCCCCACTTCGATCATCACACCACCTGAAAAAAAGCTCAGCCTTCAAGTCTTTCGACTGCTAAGGCTCTCATCTCTTAAGAAGAGATCGTGACACTGGCGCTACCAGCACCGCTCCATGCCTCCACCGCCACGACCTGATAATTGAAGTTGCTGTTGCCGAACCCATGCTGTGCCCAGAAGTTGAAATGGTTGGCGACAGTCACCGTTCCAGATGTGCGCGGGCTCTGTCTAACGGAGAAGTACTGCGTGAACGTGCTTGTTCCCGTGATCGATGGCTCGTTGGTTCGAGTGTCAGTGCAGACTTGGTAAGTGGCTCCATCAGAAGACACAGTACCAAGGCTTGTGGCCGAGCTACAAGGGTTGTAACTGCCGTAGTCCTCGACAATGTAGTATTCAGCCTGAGGAGAGTTGACCCAGCCGTACACAGCGAGGTAAGATCCGGAGCCAGAAGCGCTGTAGCTGGCAGAGTAGGTGATAGATCTGGAAAACGTTAGATCCTAGACTTATATTAGAGAATGTAGTCACCCACTTAGAGGAACCAGTGGTCCAGCCCAGACCAACTACGAAGTCGGAGCTGACTCCATTCTCCCAGTACATGGAATATGTTCCAGCACCCTCATTATAGGTGAAGTCACCAAGGTTGCCATTGTAGTTCTGGACGTAGTTAATACCGGCGCTTCGTGACACCAGAACAGGTTCAGGGACAGGGGTAGCGAATGCCGTGACCAAGAGGCCCGCAAAAGCTGCAGTGACCCTCATCGTAATTGAAGAGAATTGGATGCTGGTGAATGGATGTGTATAACTGGAAGAGAAGCCTGTGCTGGTCAATGTTGCTGCAAGCCCATTCTACCTCTATTTATATTCTGCGAAAATGACTATTTATCCCTTTTCCCCGGGGCCCCGCACGACGAAGCAGCCCGGTTATGTGCATTTTGCCGCTTTGCCTTTGGTCGTTGAACGAGCTCGAGCCTACTACCAGAGACAGCTCTATAGATAGTTTCCGGTACAGCCACCAGTCTGGGCACTGCACTTGGCTAAATAGACTGTACTTGGCTAAATGGGCTGCAGGTGGCTAAAAGGGCCACAGTTCAAGGGTAACACCTGGGCAGGTGAGTGAAGGTAAACAATGTGGAGGCGGGGAAGTGGGGATTCTTCACCGGTTCCCTGCAGAAGTTTTACGAGCTGAGAAGTCATGTTCATAATCTTGTACCGGCCGATCAGCTAAATAAACACAGTTTCTCATCCACACAACCCGTATGTACTGGAGGCTTATTTTTTTGCTTCTTGTAGCAAGGCTAAGGCTGAGTTGACGCTGCGAAGAACACTGGCCCGAAGGCGGCATCAAGGATTACTCTCATTCTTCACGTACTTTGGAGCTTTAAAGCGCACGGGGAGGAGGCCGAGCAGCTCTTTGTGCAGGTGATGAAGGTGAGCAAGACCAATCTCGGCGCGGACCATCCAGACACGCTAATCAAAATGGAAAGTCTCACTTTTACCCGGAAATATCCAGGCCAGGATGCGGAAGCCATGAACTTACTCAGGTACTTCCTAGCCAAGCAAAAACAAACATCGGGGCTAAAACATTGGCAAACCTTAGCCAACTCTACGGCCTCGGCAGAATGGGAAATGGAGGGCCAAAATAACACGTCAATCAGTTCGATATCTTAATATTGGAAGTCTATATAGCAATGTCTACTTTACATATATTTCCAAAATTGAACTTCCTTTCTCATATGTTGACTTCGTGGGCACTACTAGTACTTTGGTGAAACTCGCTGTACAGTAAGGAGATTAAGGAGGAACAGAGCCATCAACGAATTAGCTTAGGTGCCAGTGTTATTGACAGAATTATTACAAGTAATTTAAAGCGCGTTTTATCGCGTGACTGGATATTTCAATACGATTTGGTACTTGAAACTGAGCCAAGCCAAATATGGATTAGCTTGTTTCACACTATGATTCGAGAAAGAAGCTCCGTGTGCAAGGGTGAAGCTGATTTCGACCCACCCTGTATACTAAGAGTTCAAGTTGACGAGCCACGGCACTTTTTCCTCAAATCCGATCACCATCCCCAGATTGGAATGTCTACGAGGTCGAAGACTTGAGGGTGATAAAGCCCCGACCGGTGGCCGAAACCAATTCCATGGAGTTTCGTGATATCCTTCGTACAGCACAAATGGAATATAAACTTGAACACCTCTGACAGGTCACAGTTCCATTCAGCTGGATAGAGCGTGTTTTGTCAGGCTGCGAGAGGAGAATTACGATTTTTATTGGCCTATTCAAAAGCTCATACGAACGGGTTTTGTGAAGCGTTTGCACTCAGGGCAAAGATTTACAGGTTTTGTGCATATCCTCTAAGGGTTAAGGGCCATAAAATGCACTGACAAGGCTTTGACCGGCATGGATTATAAAATTGCGGATATCCCATTCACCGTCAATACGATATTCTTGGGAGAAAAAGACGATGACCTTACGCCCAGCTCGTCCCATGGACGTGCAGTTGGATCAGCGCTTGCAATGAAGGCGGCATAACTTGGGATAGGATTTTTATGACAGGAAAAATATGAAGGGCCAAAGTCTAGGAATTAATGCCCCACGTCCCATGCCGCCACGTAGGACCATGGGATGATCATATGACGAGGATGCAGAATAGTTCACAGTCTCGCTCTAGTCAATGGACGATATAAATGAATGAATCGATTCTCCTATCTGCTAGTATCTCGTTCGACAGCCTCATCACAGCAAGCACACTCCCCACCTCCACTCACTATACACCAGCCTACTATATCATTGCTAACAGAATGATTGGTTAGGAAAGAAGAGCACAGTGTTAGAAATTTTCACAAGACTCACCAATCCCGAAATCCTCTCAAAGAGCTTAGATGCAAGTCATAGAGGGGGTACCGGCACCACAGGTGCAAGGGGTCTTGCCTTCTTCATGGAAGCAAAGACATCCATTCTGGAGGGCGGTGCTGGAGCCGGTATCATACGCAACACCGGAGCAGCTATCACCAGAGCAGCAGTCACTAAGGAAAGACTGAGCAACGCCCAGCACATCGTTTCCATCAGGGCTTCCACCATTGGGAATGAACTCGATGGTGCAGGAACCGGATGTCCAGAGGGTGTTGGAGTTGTCATCCAGAGTCGACCCATCGGTTGGGATTTGGCCTGATGCATCGACGCAGTCGGAGCTTGTTGCTGGGAAGCAAGACTTGCAGTCGGTATTCTCGTTGGCCAGAGTGGCGGCGAGGAAGAAAGGGAGAAGAGCGAGGAGCTTCATAGTGAATATAGAGTTGATTGGTATGAAGAAAAGGATTTTGTAGGGATTTTTTGAATTCAGAGCTGGTTGATTCTCTGATTCTGCGGTAGACTTGGCTTTTATTTATACAATTTTGAGGCCCATGCCGATCTTACAGCAACTTACGAAGAGCCCCCAAAAGGAAGTGATGCTCATCATGAGAAAGGATCATCTGTGGGACTCTGCTAGGTCTTACATTTAGCACCAAGCCAACCAGACGAGATTATGACGGTCAAAGGCCAGGGCATTGCTTGCAGATCACATTCTCTGTATAGATTACTAGGACATCCGGTTACAATTGTTGGCAAAAGAGTCTTCTCAAGAAATATTGTTAAAACTTGGTGCTGGTAGCTATAATATGTTGATCAGAACAGTGATGGTCTATATAGATAAAGCATAGGGCATTTCTGCCTCGCAAAACAGAACCCTCTATATCAAAACCTAGCATTCTGCTAATCCTCTCTAGTTTGACAAGAGTCAATATTCTTTAACACAGCCAACACCGATGGCAGATCGACATAAGTAAGATATCCCTCAGAATTCCAGCCTCGAACAGATCTTTCGGATCAGAAATGACACGCGAGCCGACGAGCCGTGGTAGATACAAACGAGTCAGCCATGTACTAGTAGATCAAATCTGGTGACATATCCACTCATCACAAATACATCCACAAGACTAGATACAACAGTCCTGTTGTGATATTCTGATACAGTAAGACTTAACCCTCTTTAGCAAGGGCCACCGAGCGACCGAATCAGCTTCTCGTGCAAAAGCCGAGATTAAAATTCTGGGGTACAGACCCCACGCAGAAAGCTTTGCTTTTACAATGATCGCCGAATTGATTTCGAGAACAAGCTCTCCATTGCCGACGCCCCTCCCGTGTCCTGCTTACGGGCTCCACTATTGGGTTTTCTTCACTGCGACCTGCCAACCTTTTAGATGGTTGCCGTTGATTTGGTCACATAGTCATTCCGAACATCGTTATTCCAAGGAGTTTTATATCAATATCGATATCCAGGCTGGAATTATATCTTCCGACACATATAGAGAATGTTGCAGACACCCTTAGGTAAGTTCTAATTCAGCAGTGAGCCATGGCATAGATTTCAGCCCCCAATGAATTAATTTGTCACCTATTGTGACTAGAGGTGTTCGCCCCATTAGCCCCCACATAATCCTTCTAAATGCTTGCCTATGGCCGGCTTACGGACTGGCTTTCATGTGAAAGAAGTGGAACTAGTATGGGACTCCCTAATATTTGAAACAAAATTGTAGTCGTGTTCCAGTTCAACAGTCTTCGTGCCAGGGGAACTTTTGAGGACGACTTGGAAAAGAGATGATGCTACGGGATATTGTTCTAGGTAAGAGTTGATGGGTATGCAAAATGTTCATGTCCATGGTCAACGGATCCTTCATAATTATGATAGTCATGAAAATAATTAACACTATACAAAAGTCTAGGAGGCATCAATAGATCTGAACTGGCTTCGCCTCCGCTCAGTATGAATCTCCCGATCGGCCGCAAGCTGCTGGGCGAACTTGCTCTTCTTCCGAATCTCAGGACCCTTCCAATAGAACACATAAATAGGAATTAAGACCAAGAAGCCAATACAGCCTAGAATGGTACTCGCCCACTGAAGGTGATATTTCTGGCCAATATTGGTGTACATCGGCGTCGAGTACATGGTCGCGATACCAGCGAGGAAATCACGAGCGAATCCGTTACCTCCGGTTGCTGATGCGGAATAAGGACCGTAGGCTGCGACCATGTAATCGATTGTGGCCATGTAGATTGCATAGTTGGCCATGGCAATCATGCAAGAGAAGATGAGAGGTGCGATCCAGGGGCATTGGGGGACCCATCGAGGTCCATGCGAAACCAAGTAGGCCGATTGGCTCGAGGGGGGCTATGAAGAGAAGGAGAAGAAGACGTCGCTCGGCATATCGACTAGCGGCGCCTTCTTTGGAGCGTAGCTTTATTTGACGATAGATGTCGGGCAAGAAGATGAAGTAAGCGAGGAGATAACCGATCAAAATCGAACCGAAGGTCATTCCGATGGCCAGAACGGACATGTCCCACTGTTTAAAGACCAGGGTGAATGATTCGGTGAAAACGAAGATCAGAGCGTCGGAGAAACCTGAGAGCAAGGATAGGAACAGCACAATAGGTTCAAGTAGGAACATCTCGAAAGGCCGACGCCAGATAGTCAAAACCTCGCGAAGTTCTAGACGAGGGTTCTTAAGTTCATTCGGGCCATAGACCTCTTCCTCGCCAGCCTCCCGGCGACGCTTGGCTTCCTTATCGACCAAAAGTGTAGCACGAGTCTCAGGTACCAAGACGAAATGCATAGCTTGTGTGACACCACCAAAGATTAATTGGACCCAGAAAACCCAGTGCCATGACAGGTATTGGCCGATAATACCACCAAAGAAAGGTCCAATAGTCGAGCCTCCCACCGAAGAGAGCACCACATATGCCACTGCGTAGCCCTGGTTATCAGGTTCCCACATATCGGCCGTCATACCCAGGGTGACGGAACCACCAGCAGAACTCAAACCACCCAGAATACGGCAAACGACGATAGTGCCAAAGTTAGGCGCCAAAGCGCATGGAATCTGCCAGATATTCACCAGAAACAACGAGAGCTGCATGATGGGCCAACGGCCAAACTCCTCCGACCAGGGCGCCCAAAGCTCACACCCAAACGCATATGCGACGAGGAACACACATTGCCCGACTCGGGCGGCTTGTTCGCTAATGTGGAATTCCTCCGTCATGCCAGTAACGGCGCTGGCGTAGACACCTGTGTTGAAGTTCATGGACATTTGCACGACAAAAATCACCGAGATGATAATCCATTTCTTGTAGGTGGGGAAGCAGAAGCCGAGTTTATCGTAGCACTCGTCTTCTGTGAGCTCACGTTTCCCGGCTTTCTCGACTCTGGGGCTACCGTGCTGGCTGCTGTTGTCGGATTGAGAGGCATTTTCGGCGTGGGTATCGTCTCCGCTTGCGACTTTCTTCGAAACTTGTTGTATTGTGTCGGGTTGCTCTATTTTGTGATCATCTTCCCGCTTCTCGGAGAGCGGAAAATCGTCCGAGACAGCCATGTGGCAAGGGGGATTGTATGGATCGATTGCTTATAGTATGGGAGGAACAAATATGTGCACCTGAAAGTCAAAAGTGGAGTATAGGGGATGGGAATGGGGATAAGTGGGTTCCAACGTTATCCCCTGGGAGAATGGAGCAAAAATAATAGATATCAGGGCGACCATGAAGAAACGATTTATATTTATGCAGCTCAAAGATAGCAAAGTGGAACCGGGGGCACATGGATCAATGCGTATGCAACTTTCGCATCATGGAATCAGTCGGGAAAGCTGGAACAGGATACGACAATGTCCATCGGTAGAATCCGCAGGCCGTGGGTGGTTTCTGTAAATCCGAGGACATTGTGAGATTCGTCCATGGAGGCAGGAACAGTATCCACAGCCAACGGCAACTTGTAACATGAATGGGCAGGCCTGGGCAATGCCTGGGGAGCTGCAAAACCTGTTATAGATCTACCTCCACTGTCGTGGGGCTGTCCGGGGTTGTCGGTAGCCCGATTACTACGACGTCATATCCGCGTCAATCCATCGATCTTCTCCACTTCAAGTTGTCCTGGGCGTTCAGGGCGCATGGAGGACTCACAGAGGCACCAATTCATTTAGATATTAATGGCTATGATCGGGCCTCGAGATGGGCGCTAGAAGGAGGGCGTAAGTGTGATGTTGTCATACTCCAACTGACCTGTTTTATCAAGCCAATAGAAATACTTCTTGGAAGCGCGCAGCCTCTTCCGTTCTTTTGATCGAAAATCATACCACAATGTCCATGCTTCCATGGTTCTGCTTGGAATTGGTCCGAGCTATGTGAGGTTAGGTTCGTGGTCGCCTATAAGCCAGCCTTAGGATCCATACCTGTGCAACGAGCTATTAGACGAAGACTTCACAGCATCTTCAACAGCAGAACATGTTTCCGAGGGTCGATAAGATATCGCTTCGACTGCTTAACATTCACAAGCCTTATGGCGCCGAGTGACGTGCTCTTTGAGCCAATTGCCACAGCTTGGCGATATCTCGGCGTTGCCCAAACCGGTTCAACCGAGTCTCGGCAAAGGCGTCATCATCCATGGTTCACACTAATGTACAGATCTGTAGAGCATACATGGGACGTTCGCACTGGTCATGGGAGGTCATTCTCCGACCGGAGATAAGCCTGATATCTTACTTCGCCATCGCACTGGTCCTCTGTACTAGAGTAGTTATGATAGCTCGAATAAAGCAGTGCTTCTCCACCAGGAGGTGTTGGATCTTTGCTGGTACGTATACTTCATAATTGGCTTCAATTATTGCACTTGATCAAGATTTAGATAAATCCAAAAAGTAAAAGTACACCGGCGATACAAATTCCAATCCCCGGCTGTTTGACCAATCCTAGCTCCCAAAGATGCAATCAATCATGCAGGGACTTCTTTATGAACAATTGCGAAATGTGCTCGAGATCGACCCCTCGTATTAAACCTTTTATCGCAGGATGGATGGGGGCATAAATACGCGCCGGCTGAAATGTGCGCTGATTCAATGTGTCGCCTCAGATTTGCTTTTGAGAAGAATCCACCGGTATTGGGGCAGTTTATCCAGCCACAGTGGATTTTCTCCTTTTTCCTGATCCGACCGAATAGAATTGATTAGATTATGTTGTGCAGTATGTACAGTATGTTGTTAAAGGCGACGGAGATGCTTACATGGGTTGGGTTGGCGGATCAGTTTCAGTTCCAGGTTCTAATGCAGCTTGAGTCTCAGAATCAGGCGCAGGCGGACGAGAGCCGCCTTCACGTTCAAGCCACGACAATTTTGCCTGAGCTCGGAGACGTCGCCAGGTTTGTTTCGACAGCTTGTACTCCGGTTCTAATCTCCGCTCAATCGCCTCCGGAGATAAGCCATCCCGAATATAGTTCCTAACCTTCCCTTGAAGCTCAGTATCCTAAGTTGTCGGTTTCGCTTGCTGCCGAATCTCCCACTCTTGCAAGCGCCGCGTGAACGTGCGCATTGAGATTGGAATACCGTGCCTTTCATTTAAATGCTTGCTTATCTCCTGTCGTGTTGAGCCATTATCATAAAGTGAAATAATCTGGCAGTGGTAGCTGGGGTGTGGAGGACACAGATGTATAGAGTGCATCGAGGAAGTTGTGGTTATGTGTTCGTTGAAGCTACAGTATTGGAGCGATCGAAACACGGCAGTGATGGACGTGAAGAGAAAAGGTAAACAACGAAGGCGTCGCATTGAACTTTGATGCCCTGATGCGTGAGGCAAAGACCTCTCGACTATATACTGTAATTCATAATTCAGGCTAAGCCTATTTAGGAATCCTCCCACATCAGCTATGGTATCGTGGTATCTTGGAGTCTTTATATGAGCATTATATGGGCTTTATATAGCCAGTATCCCATGGTGGTGGTTGCCTCATTCGTTCAAATAGTCAAAAGCTATCGCTGAGATGAAACGCGGGCCACTGGGGATCGTAGCCCGCTAGCTAGTACTACCGTGACCCTGAAGGAGGCTCAGCTGCAAGCGAAAGTACATTCCACATGGATTAACTTTCATTTCGCACATATACGATATAGGCCAGTTTCAATTTTACTGATTCATGTCGATTGAAGATATTATTGGACTGCAGCAAAGCATTTTCAGGTACCCTCTGTATATTGGTAGAGTAAATCGAAATATCAGAAAAACAAATGTCCGGGTATATCAAAAACAACCTCTCCAGTGGATATCACAATTAAAAAAGTAAAAATCATACGAAATCACACCCAACGCCCTTGACAACCCCACTCAATTCGAACCCGACTCCACCGGCCCTCGAATAGGAACCATAGCCCTCCGAACATACTTATAACAAACAGTCTTAAGCCTCCTCGGCAAAGCACCTGCAGAAGACGACCTCATAGACAACTTCCTATGCAAACGCGTAGCATCGAAGCTAGGTTTCCGCGCCATACCTCCCGCGCCCACCGGTGTCACAGCCGGCGGCGCCGTCACCGACGTCGTGCATCGCGTTTCAGGACTCGACTCCTCCGTTTGAACGGCCGTTGCTTCACTTGTATCATCTGTTGGAGAGACGGTGCTATTCGTTTCGGGCCGGCGCGTTTGTACACGCGCAAGTGGGACCGTGTGTATTTCCATGCGCCCAAGTGGGACCGTGTGTGTTTCCATGCGCGCAAGCGGTATCTCTTCTAATTCTGATTCGTGGCAGGGGAGAGGTATGGTTCTGAGGGCGGCGGAGATGCGGTCGTGCATGGCTTGGTCTTGGATTATTGAGGCCGGGGGTGGGGAGGGAGTTTCGTTTTCGTTTTCGGGAATGGACATTGCCATTGGCATGGTTGTGGGTTCTGGTTGCTGGTTTGCGATTATATCGTTCGCTTCGAGAACTCTTTCTTCAATGATGGCGTTCTTCTTCTCTTCGATCTCGGCCTGCAGGGCGTTTTGCGCGTTTTGGAACGTCGAGGTTCTGGCGACTGCTTCGAGTTCGTCTAGGTCGAGTTCTGCTTCGGAACCGGAGCAGTATTCGTAGTATTCATCGTCTTCGTCGGAGTCGGACTCGTCGGACCAATCTGAGTCTTCCTCTTCGTCTTCATCTTCGAAATCGCCCGTTAAAAGGTCCTCCAGTCCGACGCGGAGTTCGTTCTCGTCTGTCTCGGTATGGATCTCGGTCTCTGGTTCGGGTTCGCAAGGTTTCGCGTCGTGGATGGATGATAGCAGTTCTGGGCCTTGGGAGTATTCCTTGGCCTTATTGTCCAGTGTCGCAGTAGCAACTTCTAGATCCAAGCAAGAAGATGCCATATTTTGCATATTCAAGCTGTGAACAGCGCGATAAGCTTGCGAGACCAGCTGTCTCACGTAGTCGGCCGAGGCAGGGTGATCGGGGTGACTCGCGGCATGGGCGTAGATTTTGGCGCAGTGTAGTTCGAATACTTGGGCCAATTGAGAAACATCTTTGAAATTGGAGTCAATTGATGTGTGTTCTGGCCATGAGGTCGCCATTTTGGTGGTGGTGGTGATTAAACGTGGTGGATGTTGTGGTGAGAGTGGGAGAAAACGCGTGCAAAGGTAGCTTATCGCGTTAAGTACTCATCCCCCCCACAGGGGTTAGTTAGTTAGTGATATTGCGCATAATCCCTCAGGCATGCACCACACATTTCAGTCCCTCCCCTCATTCTCGGTTTAATTAGCTTCCTTTCTGGTGGGAGATTTTATGAGGGATTTATTTTGCCTTTTCTTTTCCAGTTTTTGAAAGGGCACAGTCTGTAAATAAACATACCAAGTCAGACACTGCACCCTGGATGTAGAACGAGATCTTTCTACCCCCTTCTTCCTAGTGACAATGCCTATTTCATAGACAGAGTGCCAGTTCCCTGGGCATAACGCCTAATTGAAGCGCAGATAGTCTTCCTCTAGATATTTGCAAGTCACCAGTCTACAAAACTACCCACATTTACATCTACAGCAAGGTAAGATAATGCCCCCGAAACTCATCCATTGACAAAATTCGAATCTATCTATCCACACAACCAAGTCGATACAGGAAGACGGATAAAATAAACAAAGTCAAAGGCGAGCCCGAAAAACCGGGGACCAAAAAAAAGCCAAAAAAAGTATAGTGTCATCCGTATACAAATGACGATCATGATCACCGTCATGTATTATGAACCAAATGGTATGTAGGATAGATGCAAAAGTACACATCACATCAACCAATCGAATGTAAAGGAATGGACAGGATATAGACAAAGCATGCATCAGCTTGAATCCCAGGCAAGTCCCAGCCTGACCGGGAAACTCCCCCCGGACCCCCCAAAATGAGACCAAAGGAGACCCCCCACAGTCTAGGACGTGGCAACTAAATAGCACCATCCCCGCTTAAGCGGCAACACCAACAGGAGCGGGGGCGATGGGCGACTTCGCGCTACCAAGGGGGGTGCCGGTCTTCATGCGAGGAGGCACGGGAGCGGCCTGAGCCTGGGTCTCGGCTCCGAGTTCACGGGTGATAGCGACCTCGAGAGACTCGGTAGCCGCGAGGCCGAGCTGGGATTCTTCCCAAATGGGCTGGTTCGCGGCCTCGGCGCCCTCGACGCCGACACCGACGAATCCACCCATGTTCTCCCAATCGCTAGCACGCTTGAGGCCCAGGTCGTTCCAAACGGCTTGCACGGCTTGAACAAGGTGGTCGCGGAGGGGCTTGACGTGGCCTGGGGTCGGGGTGATGCGCAGACGCTCCTCGCCGCGGGCACGGTGGGGTAGTTGATGGCCTGGACGTAGATGCCGTGCTCCTCGAGCAGCTTGTCAGAGGCCTTCTTGGCGAGTTCGGCGTCACCGACCAGCAGAGGCACGATGTGCGAGGGGTTCGGGATAACGGGGATGTCGAGAGCCTTCAGGGAGTTCTTCACGGCGCGGGTGTGGAGCTGCTGCAGGACGCGGTCACGAGGTTGCTCGGACTGGTACTGGATAGCGGCGTCGGCACCAGCCATGGTTGCGGGTGGCAGGGAAGTGGTGAAAATGAAGCCGGGTGCCAGGGAGCGGATGGTATCGACCAGGGCGTGGGATCCAGCGATGTATCCACCGACGCAACCGTAGGCCTTGCCCAGGGTACCGGTAATGATATCAATACGGTCCATGACCGTGCCCTTGGTGCTCTTGGGAGAAGCGGTGTCCTGCGACGCGTAAACGTCGTAGTCGAGGTGCTCGGCGACACCAGCTCCGTGGGGACCGTACATGCCAACAGCGTGCACTTCATCCAAGAAAGTGATAGCGCCGTACTTGTCAGCCAGGTCACAGATCTTCTCAATTGGCGCAATAGATCCGCACATGCTATACACAGATTCGAAGGCGATGATCTTGGGAACGTTGAGAGGCAGAGAAGCCAGCTTGGCTTCCAGATCTTCCATATCATTGTGTTTGAAGACCATCTTCGCCGCTCCAGAGTGACGGATACCTTGAATCATCGATGCGTGGTTCAGGCTATCGGACAAAATCACACAATTGGGCATCTTGCTACCCAGAGTCGCGAGGGTAGCGTCATTGGCAACGAAGCATGAACTGAAGACCAGGGAAGACTCCTTTCCATGCAACTTGGCCAGAGTATCCTCCAGCTGAACGGCATGCTGGTTGTGGCCAGAAATATTGCGGGTACCACCCGCACCCGCACCATAAGTATCAAGAGTGCGGTGCATGGATTCCAGAACCTTGGGGTTCCGACCCATACCGAGATAGTCGTTGGAGCACCAGACCGTCACGCGCTCCTCGGCCGAGGCCGTGTGGGCACGAGGAAATTCCTTGGCGAGGCGATTGATGTTGTTGAAGTAGCGGTACGACTTGTCCTTGTGCTTCTTCTCGAGTTCGGTGTTGTAGAATTCATTGTAGTCGAATCGGGAAGTGACCGGGGACTCGGGGCGAGCACCGCGGGCCGCGGCATCCGCCGCAGGAGCAGGACGGAGATGAGCGAGGTTAGGGTGGGCTGCTAGCCAATTAGTATAGATCCCAAGTGTCAATCAAAATCGAGATTCCGTCGGAAACTCACCCTGCTCATTCTTCTTATAGGTTCCTGGGGCGGCACTGGCGGGATGACCGCCAGTGGTGTGCAATGCACGCTTGTTGGATGGGGCCAGGAACGGCTTCGCGGCGGGGACTCCGGCGGCGGAGGAAGTGAATCGCTTGGTGCTGCTGAGACGGGCACTCTGGACTGCAAGAGCCTTGCTCATGACCGGGCAGCGGCGAGCCAGAACCTGGAGGTTGGACATAGTTCCACCGCCGGTGCTGGGACGGGTAGCCGTGGAGAGGGTGCGGAGGGCGGCGGGCGCGGTGCGCTTGAGGAAGGGGCACATAGCCCGGGACTGCTGAAGCATGGCCTCCATGATGATGATCGAATTGAAGCCAAACAAGGTGTGTGAAAGGCTGTAGGGGAGCAATGTTGCGGTGCAAAAAAGGAGGGAAATGAGACTCATGAAATTCCTGGGGCGGGGATTGAAAATGAGTCAGCAGATGACAAACGGGGCGTTGTGAATGGCCAGACTTGACAGTGGAGACTCGACAGCGGGCACTCGACAGGACACTTCACTAAGGTTGGTGCGGTGCATCTCGGAAGATCCTCCCCATTTGGGCCTGCGGCACGTTTCATCCGAATTTAGTCAGCGTCCCCCGGTATCAGAAGGGCCCGGGTGGCCCGAGGTTACTTACTTGACATTTGCTGTGAAATCTCCGCAGCGGCAAATACACTTTTAGGTGCGGGGGAACCTTCCAAGTTCCGCAGTCTTCAAAAAGGGAAATACCACAGCCGGTGAGAGAAACAAGATCGGTCAAAACCGGAATTGCGCCCGCAATTACTATATACGAGTAGGCGATAATGGTAATGCTAACCATACAACTGATCCAAACCGCCCAATTGGTCAAATTATCTGCAACTAGGTGGCGGGAAGTTGGAAGCTGGAACGTTGTAATAAACGTATGAAGAGATATTTCCCGATAATCTAGATCGTCATCATTGAAACTGTGGTCACATGGGCAATTCATGTTGCACATACTGAGAACTTTGAATGAGTAATCGGCAGTAGAGGAACTGGTACAGTCTGTTTCTGTCTATGGAAGGTTGACTCTTCGTCCTCTTGGAAGAGTCGACCAGAACTCACTCGTGTAGGAAAAGTCTCGCGCGCCATGTGTAACTTGGATTACTAGCGTGGTTTTTACACATCTGATCTGCTTTTGTTGCCTAAAAGCAGGCAAAATCCTGAGAACAAAGTAAGCCCTTTTGTCTAGCAGAAAAAAAAAAACGGTACTCAAACGGCAGAGTTGTATGTAATGAATTCGTGTAAGCCACGCCCAGCAGGAACCATTGGCAGAGTCAAGGCCTTGGGTGAAATCATGACTTCCAACAACGCCAGTCCCTTAGTGTCCAAAAGCCATCGCAGTTTCTCATCCGCATCATTTTCACTCGTACACTTTCGAGCTTGGACACCCATCGCTTCCGCGGTTTCAACAAATTCAGGGTTAATTTGAACGCTGTGGGCAAAACGGTTCTGAAAGTATACGGTTTGGAGATGCGTGACCATACCCTTCTCCTCATTATTTAGGACAATTACTTTAATGTCGATATCGAACTGCTTCGCCGTAAGAACGAAGCATCGCCGTCGATGTCAATGACTAAAGCATCTGGTCGTCCGACCTTTGCCCCAATCGCGGCAGGCAACCCAAATCCCATCGTTCCTAAGCCACCCGAAGTCACCATCGTGCGAGGGTGCCTCCAACGAAAGTGTTGAGCAGTCCACATCTGATGCTGACCGACCCCTGTTGTAAGAATTGTACGATCCTTTATTGGATCGACTAGCTCGCTTAGCTTCTCTATCAGTTTTTGGGGCTTAATACGCCCACTGCCCGAAGGACTTTCCTTCTCAAAGGCCTGAAAAGGGTATTCGGACTTCCACTGTTGTACTTGTGCAATCCAGTCTGATTTTTCTGCTCGGGTGATAAGTGGGAGTAAGAGCTTGAGATTCTCTGCACTATCTCCTTGAACAGGGATGTCTGCTTGAACAATCTTGTTGATATTCTTGCTTAAAATATCGAAATGAATAATTCCACCAGTGCCTTCAAGAGCCGCTTGTCGAGCGCTAGGGGCAAACTTCGGAATGCTTCCGGTTACACGATCGTCAAAGCGTGCTCCCAGTGCAATAACTGTGTCGGCGTTTTGGATTACCATATTAGCATACCCAGACCCATGAAGACCAAGCATATGGAGTGCTTTGGGATCCATTTCGTCAAATGAACCAAGGCCTTGAAGGGATGTTGTGACAGGAATATTGGCTTTTCTTGCAAGCTCGTGTAGTAGTTGCGGGCCTTTTGGAGATGCCAGCACTCCTGACCAACATAGAGGATAGGTTTTGCGGGACCCATTGATCATGGCTGCTGCATTTGCTATCGACTTTCAAGGGCTTCTTGTCGGACATTGGAAATGGCTTTATCAATCCTAGTTTGTGCTGCTGGAAATTCGAGACCAATAGGGGGAGGTATTTGAGGGACGGGCGTTCGTAAGACATCGGCTGTCACGTCTTTCGGCAGCTCAACAAGAACGGGTCCAGGTCGCCCGGAGGTTGCGATCTTGAACACTTCGTCAATTTTCCGCGGAAGATCGGCGACTTGCCTTACAGAAACATTCCATTTAGTGCAGGGCTGAGTCATGGCAATTATGTCGGCCTCTTGGAAGGAATCCATGCCCGTCGCGTAAGTCGGGACCTGACCACAGAATGCGACCATAAGAGTCCCATCAGCGAGCGCATCCATAAAGGGCGTAATTAGGTTTGTTGCCCCAGGTCCCGACGTTACCAAAACAACTCCAGGCTTTCCAGTCACTCGCGCATACCCTTGGGCCGTATGCCCAGCACCTTGCTCATGACATGATAGAATGAACTTAAGTTCGTTTCCGGCATCGTAAATCGTGTCAAATATGGGAAGAACAGCACCACCCGGGTACCCAACTGGATTGAAAAGGGTGATTAGACAGGTTAAAGAGATTTGGAAAGCCTAGAAGCCTCTCACATATTCTATCCACGGCATAACGGGTCAACATCTCTTTGAATATTTGACCTCCTGTCATTCCGACAAGCCTGTCACAACGGTTAGAAAGATTTTGGGTGTTGATGAAATTTTGACGCACGAATAGTCAAGTTCTTTCTGCTTGTCCCGTCGCACATTCTTCGGTTTCCAGGAAAGCTGAGACTTCCCAGGATTGAACTCAGGGGGATTGGAATACTGTCCTCAAATGATTGTGGGTATATTTAGACACAACTTCCTCAGCACCGATAGAAAGTCAGGGCACTTACTCAGCAAAGGCTGTGCTTATCTGACGTTCAGAATGTAGAAACAATGACTCCTGCAGACCAATTGAAGGTCGCCATGGTTGAAAATTATTACGGCACTGAAACCGTCGGCAGGAATGAAAGCCAGTATACTTCTGAAGTTATTTAGTACTAATACCCAACTATAATACTAGTAATGAAGTATTCCAGGCTTAGATAGTAGAACAATGACACCAACTTGAATCAGAATCCCTCGCTAATTCGATACAATAATCCTCTTATTATCAAAATGGCTCCCCTCCCTCCCAACCGCCACATCAACCATCCACCTCGCACAGCTCTCACGCGTAATAAACAAACTCGCTCCAGACTCCGTACTCCCAAACGTCTTGACCGGGTTCAACCCTCCACCCTTCAATCCGACCGGCAAAGGAAGCGTCCAAATAACATCCTCTCCACAAACCTCCTCGATCTCATCATTAACCGCATTATGATCCTTATAGGACTCGGAAACATTACTAAAAGCAATCATAAATCGAACAATATACGGCGTAACAGCATAACTCTCGCCGACGCCTAAAGCATTCATGACAACCAAGCGAGGTTTGCTGCCGCCAGTTGCTGTGGGGCCGTTGTGCTGCGCGTGTATGAGGGCCCGGGCAGCATTCCTAGTCGAGTCTGCGATTAGACGTGGGGGACCAAGAAACTTTCCCCAGGGATTTTGACCTGCGCGCGGCGCGTTGAGGAAGACGAGAACTGCGTCTACTGGGACGCCGGATGCTTTGAATGCGCGTGCCATGTCTTCTTCTGATAGAGGGGAGCCCTCGACGACGGTGAGTCCTTCTTGGGGCTCGATGCTGTCGGCTTTGCGGACCAGAATGGTCACCGTGAACCCTGGGGACCCTTCTTAGTACTATTATTCAAACTCAGGCTCCTTTGATGTTCCGTGACATAATTGAGAAGTCTCATATAGTAGCCTGAGATCTAAGGAAATACCAGTCCGTTGGCAAGCTACTACATACCTTGTTCCAAAGCATATTTATACCCGTACAGACCCGTTCGCCCTGTTGCCCCAAGGATAAAGAGATGCATGTCGGCCACTAGCAGCGATCGTCAGCTAAGGAAGTCGTGACACAGGATATTGTAAGCGCAATGTACAGCCCGATTATGTATCGGAGGATTGGAAACCTCCTATTATTGTAGTTGCGCGAAAAGTGTGGCAAATTGACTGGAATCGCACTTTCGATTGACTGTCTCCATAAAGGTTCGAGCCTTTTGAACTGTCATTGGTCCAAATACCCACGTCAGGTGGTCCATGCGCATTCTAGCGCGTTGGCTTACTATGGCTTATCCCTCTTAGCCAACCATGTTAAACGAAGTAGTCTTGGACAGAAGGATAGTATTCTTTGAATTTTTGGGTGAACTTGCGACTCAGATAATTGCTTGGGATAAGGAAAGGAGTTTCAGATTTCATTTCAATTACTGTAACTACCAGTAGGCCTTGTTGAACGAGTGTATCATGTGACCAATCTGGATATCTGGGTCCTGATTGGCCCGTTAACTCGCCCGTTTGCTTCAGGTCTCTCATTCATCACAAACAGTCAACCAGATCACTTCCCTCATTTTACTTCCTCCAGAGAAAGGTTTACATTTCTATCCTCAACAAGTCATTCACATCTCTGCCTTGCATCGACTGCCGCCCCGACACCTGGAGTCGGCTCGACTACCTAGGGCTAGAGATAGCCCGAGCTCATCTTACTTCCCTACATGCATCCAAACTGGAAGCATTCACAGTGGAAACCACCGTTGTAAGCAACAAAGACCCTTCACGGGTGAAGGATTTCCAGATAACTGATCACAGATACAAAGTTACCTGACACATACACAGTGCATCACTCTGAAAGCCCACAGCCTTTTCAGTATTCGCAATCCTCGCAGAAATGGTCTACACCATAAAAGTTTGGATCGATGGGGGTTGCAGAGGCAATGGAACACAAAATGCAACTGGAGCCGCTGCCGCCGTTTTCGAAACAGAGCACGGTGACTTCACCTGGACGAGGTTGCTACCCTCACATCCTCCGCCAACAAGCCAGCGTGCTGAAATCGACGCCCTGAACCTAGCACTGGACCAAGCCCTGGTGTTGCATGGGGAGCTTACCCGCCGCCCAGGGCTCGATGTGAAAATCTATTCCGATTCGAGATACGTGGTTAACTGCATGACCCAATGGATGCCCAGATGGATCAATAATGGCTGGCGAAATTCTGCTGGCAGGAGTGTTGCGAATCGAGATCTACTAGACCATTCTTGGTATCTGGACAATGAATTGAAACAGCGGGGATATGTGGAGTATCTCTGGATCCCGAGGGAGGAAAACGAGATTGCACACAGGCGGTGCGATGAACTACTGAACAACCCCAACCACTGGCAGTAAGGCAGATGTTATGTGTCTTCTCACTCCTACTATTTTTCGACTGAAAGGCCACATCACCGTCACAACCGCCGACTACCATTCTATCGTGCAGTCACTGGTACAGCAATTCCAATATCTCTACCCTTCTCACCAGCCGCAGGTTGTTTGCCTTTCCTCCGACCTGAATGCCCAGTTCCTCGCTGGCCCGCCTCATCCTTAATATGTTCCAAGGCTATCAATCATGTCATCTATACCATGACAGCCACAGCCTTTGCGCCTCCATAAGTGGTGGCCTCGATTAAGAGGAATGTATCTATTAACTAGACGGTCATATGGCATCGTCACCATCAAGTTTTTAGCAATCAAAACAATAAATATTTTAAGGAACAGCATAGTATAGAACATCATTTAAATCTATTATGATAGCAGCATCATGTGCCCCATGGACGTACAAACATAAAATCCAACAGTTCCAGGTTTGCATGCAGACAAAAGAGCAAGGGACTCAAGAGGTGGAGAGGAGCCAAACCCCAGGAACTTGAAGAAAGAATCAGCTTTTTGCCAGCACCCACCTGGGCATCAGATATCCCAAGTGCTTTTGGAACCCTGAACGTAGAAACAGCAACAGTAAACTGAGACATTCAATGCGAAAGTCAAAACAAGAGCCGAGCCCAGTTTTCGACCATAGAAATAGGTAGATGAACGGAGAGTAAAAGAGCCTGGAAGATTGAATAGAAACTTGAAAAAGGGCACACTGCTCCCTCCCGAAACCAGCCTTGGAAACTTGAACGAATACATCGATGGTAAAGTAATTTTTTGTAAAAATAAAACAGCGAGCCCTCCGCTCATCAACATCAACATCTATTGCATTGCGACGGCATAACATCACATCACATCAAATCACTGCTCCTCTTTTCTTATCTCATCTCTTCACTCCCCGCAAGCAATGAAACATCATGCAGAGTATTTGTAAATGAAATTCCATCAAAACAACAGGGGTACATATCCCTCTTCTCCCCTTTTTTTCTTCTCTTGGGATGGGATAAAGTGGGAAGGAAAGTGTCAACAATAAAGCATTGTATGGTAATACACAGCAGAGCACTGATATGATCTGGAAGTTCGAAAGAAAGAGAAAAAAAGTAGAGAAAAGAGGCGTCATAGTATGACACGAAAAGAGAAAGATAAAGAAAGAAAAAAGAAAAAAAAGTTCCGATCAAATCATTAAACGCCTTCGCCCATTTGCAGTTGCAGAGTAATACAAACAAAACACATCATACCACCCCCATTAGCTGAGTCCACCGTCCCCATCAATTAATCGGAGACGCTCCTTAGTCGTTTTAGCGCGCTTCGTCGTTCCCTTCCCCGGTCCGCGACCACGACCTCGTTTTGCTGGTGTCGCTGATCCCGCCGCCGCGGGCGTGTCCACGGCTTCGGACATGGGGGGTTGCGGTTCCGGAGGGTTTGGCTGAGGCATCATCGAAATTACCCTCGCCTGGAGGTAAATGTTAGTAAAGAGTAATAGAGAGACAGAGAGGGGCTGAGATAGAGAGCTGTATGTGCGATGCACTTACCTTCATGGTACATATCTTCCAGTGTGAGATCACGCTTCCGCTTCTGCGCTGCAGCGGCCTTCTTATTGCCCTTTGCAGCATTTTGAAGTTCTCCACGCTCGATGGCCTCACGTTCCCTCTTTTCTAGAAGTTCGGCTTCGTCATCGTCCGCAAGCCACATGGCAATATCCTTTGTGCGGTTCTCGCGGGGGCGCGCGTGTTGAAGTCCACACCACCAGATGCGCCACCAGTGATGACGACGCGTTGGACCTCCTCCTTCTGAAGAGCACGCTTGCGAATACGCTCTTCGATCGTGCCGCGGGTGATGAGGCGGTAGACGGTGACTTGGCGGGTCTGACCGAGACGATGGGCTCGGTCCATGGCTTGGAAGTCGATGGTGGGATTCCAGTCGGAATCGTAGAAGATGACGGTGTCGGCGGCTGTCAAGTTGATACCCAGACCACCGGCACGCGTGGACAATAGGAAGACGAATATCTCGGGGTTGGACTGGAAGTCGGCGACTGTGTCGCGACGGTCCTCGAGCTTGGTGCTTCCGTCCAATCGGCAGTACTTGTAGTTGCGGAATGTTAGGTACTCTTCCATCAGATCGATCATGCGTGTCATCTGGAAGTACAGCAGAACACGGTGACCACCAGGCTTGAGTTGCCGCAGAAGCTGATCTAGCTTGGCAAGCTTTCCGGAATCGGTGACGAAGCGGCGCATGGATGGGACTTCGATGTTGGTATAGCGGGCCTTGAGTGAGGTGGGCGGTGGCAGGACTGCCTGGTCAGAGTACGGCACAGGGTCCAGTTGTTTCTCGAGGACCTGCTCATCCGTTTGCCGAGTAGACTTGCGATACAATGCTTCTCGGATATCCATGTTGAACAAGGCATTCTCACTCTCCCGTTGGGCTTGCATACCCGAGGCGGAAAGCAAGATCGGGGGCGCAGAGGCTTTAGGACCAGCAGATGGTTCGATGAGGTTCAGACCTTGATCCTCATAAGCTGTCCGCGAGACATTCATTAGGTTGCGCATACGGCCCTCGCTCGTGATGTCACGTAGGGCCTGTCGATCGTTGCGGTCCACGATGTTTAGCATAGAGTGTGGCAGCACCGAGTTGTCTGATGATCCATTCTCATCCGAATCGTAGCTGACATTCAGACGAGACAGACGATTGGGTCGACCATGACGGCTGGTTGCGCGCTCGAATGGTCCCTGGCGTGCCAAATCGCTAGCTTCTCCAGCAGAAGTGTCCACAAATCGCAAGAATGAGAAAGTGCCGTTTTCACGAGAACTGCGCTGAATGTTCTCCGGTGTCCAAATGTTCATCATGTGGGACAAGTATTTACCTCGGAAACCGGCACGTTCATTACCGGGCCCGGGCATATCAACGCGGGCCTCTGGACCGCACAGAAGGCGCGGCAGTTCGTACTCGATGCGGTTCCTGGTCGAATAGCGCATGTCGACAAAATAGCCTTCACGAACGAAGGATGCGCACTCTCCAAACGCAGCAAGCGAGAAAGGTGACTTGGTCTCTGCACGCTCGAAGAGATCGGGGTGGTTGCAGACCTTTCGGAACTGCATGACCAAATTCATCAAGGTGGTACTGTCGCTATCGTCGCCGACTGCCGCCTTCTCAATAATATCAATGATGCTGACACGATTCCTCAGATTGGCGTATATAGCGCGCTGGCGGTAGGTCAAGTCACAGAAAATATCCTTCTCGACCTTGTCGCCAAGCTCTTGTTGTACATTCTTTTTAACACGGCGAAGCATGAAGGGTTTCAAGATCATGTGCAGACGTTTGAGTTGATCCTCGTTGAGCTTTGTGTTACTTTGAGCGTGAGACTCGATGTCTTTGGAGAACCACTCGCTGAACTCGTCGTGGGAATCGAACAGGGTAGGCATGATGAAATGCAGCAAAGCCCACAATTCCTGCATGTTGTTTTGGATCGGGGTACCGGTCAACAGGAGACGGTTGCGGCAGGAGAAACCCAACAGGTTCTTCCATCGAGAACTCTGCGAGGACTTGATGGCCTGGGCTTCGTCAAGAATCATATACTGCCACTTGACTTTCTGGAAGTATTGGGCGTCGAGAACAACGAGTTGGTAGGAGGTGACGAGTACATGGAATTCCGAGTCGCGGTTATAGGTGATGTGTTTGCGGTCCCAGAACTTTCGAAGAATCTTTCGGTCCTTCGCATTACCCCAATATGGTAGAACCTTGATGTTAGGCACGAACCTGGCGATTTCCTGCTGCCAGTTGTGTAGTGTGGAGGCCGGTGCAATAACCAGGAAAGGTCCCCAGATGTTGTGGAACTCAGCCAAATAGGCCATGACGGAGATAGACTGAATAGTCTTACCCAGACCCATCTCGTCGGCCAAGATACCGTTGATACCTTGTTCATACAAGTTAACAAGCCAATTGAGACCCTTCAGTTGGTACTCCTTTAGCTGGGCATTCAGCATAGTAGGCTGAGAAATCGTAATATCACCAAGACTTGACGGGTTCTGGAAGTTCAATTCGCCCTCGTCGAATTGAGCCATCTTATCTCCTTCTTCGTTGTTGAACGCACGAGCGCGGTCCTGGGCCTCCTGGACGGCATTCTGGGCATTGGCCATGGCAGCCTGTTGCAGGGCGGTCTCATCATCGGCATCAAAGTCAAGGTCCTCAAAGTTCGTCACCTTGCTCGGATCGGCAGTGCCGGTAGGCAGTTCCTTGCCGGGCTGGGCTGTTTCACCGGTCCCAGCAACATCATCTCCTGCTTCCGCTTCCGCGGTCTTGATCTTTCGACCGATAAAGTGAGAGTACAGTTCGGTTTGGGAGATAAGGAAATTAAGCTTGCGCTTCTGTCGGTTGGACTCTCGCTCAGCCTCAGCCTTCTTGGCAGATTCGAGCTCCTGCTTCTCTGCCAGACGACGGAGGTCGCGCTCCTCACGCTCGTTACGTTTCCAGAAGGACATCATCTCACGCATGGTACGCTTGGCGCGGGCCTGAGTATCCTTGGTGCTCTTGTTGGTGCGCTCCTGCCACTTGCGAGACTGCTTGCTTGCCAATTGTGCCGTCTTGCGCAAATTCTCCTGGCGGGTAGACAAGGACATCGTCTTGATGCGGTAGACCTTGGGGATATCCTTCCGAGCAATGTCACGCCAAATTTGTTCGTAGATCTGGTTGTAGCCCTTGCTGTCGTAGTGCAATGGCACGGGAGTACCTTCCTTGGAGCGACCGCCCTTCTTTGAATCGCGTGGGGTGTAGTAAAGAGATTCATCATCATAGCCGCCCAGATAGGCAGCCTCGGCGGCATCCTTTTCAGCCTGCTTCTGCTCCTTGGACTTCTTGGGGCGAGAAGTGGCACCTGCACGCCCAGAGCGACGCCTCGATGGAGATGATCGACCAATGTGGAATGAGCTGGTGGTGCCACCTTCGAGATTGGGAGCCAGAGGGGTGACCTCACCAAGTTCGTCTTGGGCGTTCCCACCCTCGAGAGCGCGCTTGGTAGACTTGATTTTCTTCTGTGCTCGTTCGGCCTCGCGAAGAAATTTGGCCTTCTCCGTCGAATCTGAAGCATTGTCTGCCTTGCGCTCGGCCTCGAGTTTCTTTTGCATCTCCAGTCGGACAGTGTTTTCACGACGACGCTTGCGCTGCATATCCTTCTTGCGCTCCTTCTCGTCCTGGATCTCCTTTTGTTGGACTTCGGCAATGACATCTGGTTCGTTTGCCACGCGGAAACGCTCATTTCCGATAATAGCTTGCTTCTCGAACGATCGACCAAGGTCGATTAAGAACTCGTTGCGGCGGCGCTTGCGTCGAAGGTGCTCCGCACGGGCGCTGTCGTTGGACCTCTTCAGACTTTTCTCCCGATAGTACTCGAGCTCCGCATCGAAACCGGACGCCTCAACATCACTTTTATCGGCATTTTCGATGTCAACCATGGCCCGGTTCACCTGATCAGCATCAACGCCTGGCGGCAAGGGCTTCCGTGGGTGTGCACGAGTGGTCTCGGCCTGCTCGGACCCAGACTTTGAGATTCCGTTGGGAGCAAAAGATCCTCGAGCGTCCTTCGGTTGCACGGGGGTTCTATCCGCTTTGTGAAGAAAAGTGCCTGGGGTGGGAGCAATTTCACGAGCTCGAGAGTCGTTGTGCGGTGTTTGCGCAGACGGAGCAGGGGTGGATGACTGTGGGGACGGTTTTCGTGCGGGTTTGTCTTCGGAAGGCCCAGAGAGGATGCTGGCGAAGGACATCGGATCGGCTGCTCTCGCAGGCTTCTAAGATAAAGGCAAGGGTCAGATAGCTGTTAGATAAAGTGGGATGGTGTAATTTCAAGACGTACCGTTTCTCGGGGCGGGGAAGAACGTCGTGATTCCTGCGCCACCGAGGCTCCGTACCCTGCTCCATTGCCTCTTACACGATAAGGAGATTCCGACTCGCGACTCGGTGATTGGGAGTGACCATCCGGACGGCCGGATGAATGTCCATGAGGCGTGGAGGGACCGTACGGCGAAGCGCCATTGCCCTGGTGTACGGAATTCGCAAGGGAATGCGGAGGCGGCAAAGAAGGGGTACCGGCTGCGGAATGAGGTTGATACTGCGCCGATGGCTCTAGATGCGATGGATGCGCTGGAGGAGCAGCGCCATTCAAGGGTGGCGGGAGCGAACCGGGCATGGGGGAAGACGCGTGCGAAAAGCGTGGACTGCGCGAGACGGAGGATGGAGGGAAAGCCGGGGGCGTCTGAGGTGGATGAGGAGGGTATTGCTGCTGACCCGATTGTTGCGGCTGCTCATTGTTGGAATAGAACGGGCGATTCTTGCTCGGAGACTCGTAGGCAGGGTACCGTGGTTGCTGAGTCGGGGACTGGGCGTTGTACGGCGGAGCGCCTGTCATGATGGCCGCGTCCCGGCGCCGGGCAAGCGCGGTAGAGGTTATCTGGTCGAAAGGAAATGAAACAGGATGGAATTGGACAGGATGGAGATTAGACACGGCGAGTTCGGCCCATGGACAGGTGTCAAGGGGGGTTGTTCGGATATCTAGCGCGGACGCGACGTCAGCGAGATTGGATAAAAGTAGAAGCGCGGGGAGTAGGCAGGAAGAGGAGGATCAGGAAAGAAATAAATAGAGGAAGACGGGATGATTGTACCTGGTGGAAGGATGGATTCGTTTGGTGGTGGGAAGATGCAGAAAGGAGGATCTTTGTGGCCGAGCAAGCAGAGAATGCGCGGCCGAGCTAGGCGAGGATGCAGGATGAAAGGGAAGGAAAGTAGTAAATGGAGGAAGAAGGCAGGGGATGGGAAAATGGGATGGCGTTGAGAGTGAGGATGAGGAAGATGAGGAGGAAGAAGGAAGAAGGTGGGAGGGGGAACTGGGGGGAACTGGGAAATGGTTCCGTTGAAGGGGAAGAAGGGGGAGGAGAGAGCAGAGCAGACCAAAGCTGGTTGTGTTGGCTCGGGTTGGATGCTTCAACTTAACATGGAAGGTGTACGTCGGTGGGAGGGGGAAATTATTGATTTTAAGAATCATGGTCTACTCGAGATGAAATATTTAGATTTAAATTTGTTGATTCTTTGTTCTCTTTTTGTGAAGATCCTTCTCTTCATTCTCTTCTTTTAAGCCCCTGCCAAATGTCTCGATGGCTATTAATGCCGCCGCGATGCATCTCAGCGGAGGAGCAGACCGGGGTTATCGTGAAGGTGCTAAATTTATGAACAAAAGGCCATGGATCGCTTGGGTTTCCCTCTAGAAGTTTGGATCATATCTTCCTTGGTGATTCCGATGTATCCAAATCGCCGAGATCGCCTTCTGGTCCGGTTGAGAGACTTGCCCATCCGAAGATTTGTCGCGGCCGATCCCGTACCTCCGTAACCCACTCAGCCTGGCCCTTCCGACCCCAACAGAAGAAGTATGCACCACATCGGGCTTGATGCATAGATCTTCTCACTCCGTAAGAGGAGAAAATAAGCTGATAATGGCCACCGTTGTCGAGAATCTCCAAAAAAAAGTACCAAAACGTCCTGTTCAGAGCACGCACTGCCTCATCTCGCCAAGGCCACGACGAGCCACAGCTGACCCGGGCACAGTCTAACCTTGTCAGGCGAGACCAGGGCAGCCACAAAGATCAGGTGCAAGTCCACATGCACTCTATGTAATCGAATCCAAGTCCAGCTGGACTTCAGCCCCAAGTCCCTGAGACAGCCCTCACCCAGATCGACGTCGATCCCGGGCCGCGATTCCCGCAAGGTGCGCGGTACCTGGGCCAACCGTGCGTTGGAAAGATCGAGAGAGAGAGAGAGAGAGAGAGAGAGAGCAATGGTAGCCATGCAGTGATAGATATATGTGGACCGCAGTTCCCAGTTCCCACAATCCCTGTGCATGGTGTTCGCCTTGGTCGCCCTGTTCGCTGCAAGCATGGCCTGATTGCGGAGTCATTGATCGGTTCATGTGGAGAGGCGATGGTGACGTCCTCCACTCCCCGCACGATTTTGTTCATATCGTCGATTCATTTCATTCCATTCGGAGCATTCGGATTGAATGGTGAAACGGAGGAATTCCAATGGAGAAGCCTAGGCTTTTTTGCCTTATTCTGACTATCATTGGCGTGGGTTGAAGATGAGGCAGGGTCGTGTATCTATACCAACTATAGCGGATTCAGGCTGGAGCAAAGCCCGAGGAATAGGCATAGATGCAAATACCTGTTTTGGGGATAGCAGTGGCAAACCAACAATTGCCTGTGAGATAGTCAATTGCCAAGGGGCAATCAAGAAGAAGCATCGATAGAATAGAAAGATGGGAAGTTCTCAATGGGAAGTTCCGAGTTCGGATTGTCAGGATGTCAGGTTGTCAGGAACGGAAGGAGCCATCATCGACCTTCGCACCCTCGCACCTTCCCTCTGGTGGCACCACCTCATGCATTCCCCGTTTGCTTTAAGAAGTCACCGTTTCCCTTTCTTCTGCCTTCTCTCCTCCTCTCTTCCCTTCCCACCCATCTCACCCCCTCTACGAACCAACTCCCCACTACTACATCTCCCAAAATGACCCTCCCCCGAAACCCAATGGGCCCAAGTGGTCGAAAAGAAAGGCGGTCCACCAATCTACAAACAAATCCCCGTCACCAAGCCAGGACCCGACGAAGTCCTCGTGAAGATCAAGTATTCCGGCGTCTGCCACACCGACCTACACGCCATGAAAGGCGACTGGCCACTACCCCTAAAGATGCCCCTCGTCGGTGGCCACGAGGGAGCCGGAATTGTCGTTGCAAAAGGCGACATGGCGTCGGGTATTGAGATCGGCGACCACGCCGGTATCAAGTGGTTGAATGGTTCATGTCTAGCGTGCGAGTTCTGCAAGACCGGTGATGAACCACTCTGTGCTGGGCAGATGCTGTCGGGTTACACCGTTGACGGTACGTTCCAGCAGTATGCGATTGGCAAGGCCGCCCATGTGATCAAATTGCCCAAGGAAGTGGCTTTTGATGCTATTGCACCAATTCTATGTGCCGGTATCACTGTCTACAAGGGTCTCAAGGAGTCTGGTGCTCGTCCGGGTCAGACTGTTGCCATTGTCGGTGCTGGTGGTGGTTTGGGCTCCTTGGCTCAGCAGTATGCTAAGGCTATGGGATTGCGGGTTATTGCTATTGATGGTGGTGATGAAAAGCGTGCTATGTGCGAGCAGCTGGGCTCTGAGGTACGTCACAGCATCAATTATGGTTTGACTAGTGTGGTGGTGTAGAAGCTAACAAGGAGGGAAAACAAAAGACCTACGTTGATTTCACTAAGTCCAAGGATCTTGTTGCGGACGTCAAGGCTGCTACTCCCGAAGGTCTGGGTGCGCACGCTGTGCTTCTACTTGCTGCCTCAGAGAAGCCGTTCCAACAGGCCGTTAGCTATGCTCGCCCCCGCGGCGCCATTGTTGCCATTGGTCTTCCTGCCAATGCTTTCCTCAAGGCTCCTGTTTTTGAGAGTGTTATCAAGATGATCAACATCAAGGGAAGCTATGTGGGTAACCGCCAGGACGGCGTTGAGGCTGTCGACTTCTTTACCCGCGGGTTGATCAAGGCGCCGTTCAAGACTGCTCCGCTCGAGGATCTTCCCAAGGTGTTTGAGCTAATGGGTAAGTGTTTACATTTACGCAGGGATGACAGGATACTGACATGGTATACAGAGCAAGACAAGATCACTGGGCGCTACGTCCTCGAGATGCCTGAATAAACAAGCCAGAGATCTACAGAGCTATCATGATATGGGTATCATAACGGATATTCCCGGAAACAGCAAATACAATGACACGGTGTCTAGAAAGTGCCACTGGGTCACATAATGAGAAATGAATCTACTAGAATCGAACCCAAATATCTGACACTTCAGTAGCTGAATATTTTTATACCCAGGCGAAGGCGAAGAATAATTCTCGAGGGCTACCACTAATCCTATAATTTCTTAACGTCAGAGTCACCCTCCTCTTCGATTCGTTTCCCTTCATCTTCAGGCGCGACAGTTGTTTGAGGCCCCTTGAACGTCTTCCGAGCATGCAAAGCATAATAGAGGATTGCACCAATCCAGAGTGCACCGTTGATAACGACAGTATAATTCATATTTTCAGCTTCATCACTCGTCAGCAAGGACACAAAAGAGAGGAGAGAAGCGGGAATGAAAAAGAACTCACCAGACGGATTCGGCCCTTCAGTCGGAATCATACACAAAACAATCGCAAAAGCCATATAAACAACCGCAACCCAGGCAATCGGCTTACTCAAATATTTCCCCGTATAAAACTCCCCAGGGACAAAACGGTCCTGGCCCCAGATCAGTCGCGCCAGGATAGGCGTTAGCCAAGCGAGATCATTTCCTGCAACGGCGAGGGAGAATAGGGCGTTGGCGGCGGCGGCGTCAATGAGTGAGAGTAGTCCGATTATTGCGGCGGCTGTTACTACACCGCAGACCATTCGAACGGGTTGATAGCGCATTAGCCTATGTTGGCTGACTTTGCGGAAATATCCTGATAATGGGAGTGCACCGTCACGGGAGAAGGCCCAGCTTTGGCGGGAGGCGGCGAGGACCTGGTGGAGGTGGCTTTTGTTAGAAAGATACAGATTATGGAGTAGCTTAGAGCCCTGGAGGACTAGCTACTAGGGTCAGAACTCACGATGCTAAGCCCCATGAAGTATTGAACTATGGCGTTAACAGCCATGAATCCGAGGGCACCATTCTTGCCTAGGGCATCGAAATAGATCTATAAGTTTTATAGAATAGTAAAAGTTAGCATCCATTCACTTACCATCTTCCCAGGATCCGAGAAAAAACAAACCTGAGCCATCGGCTGCCCAAACTTCGAATTCAAAATCCCGTCAATATCAGTACTCATACAAGCCGCAATAACAGCCAAACTCAACCACCCAAGCACTCCACAAAGCCCCGCCGAAGAAATAATACCCAAAGGTACAGCCCGCGAAGCATGCGTCGCCTCCTCGCTCATATGAACGCACGAATCGAACGCGCCAATCGTCCAAATAGGCGACAACCACGCCATGATAAACGCCCAGCCCGTCGGCCAAGTAGTCAAATTCTCTACCTGGCCGAAGACATACGAGCCTGAGTTGATGGGGGGTGCGTTCTCGGATTTGCCGATTGGTAATGCGATCACGGTTGCGACTACTAGGGCGACGTTTAGGAATATGCATGCCGATTGGATCTTTGGCATTATTCTGCCAAAGAATATTGCTATGAAGCCGTGCGAGAATACTGTTGCTGCGTATGTACCGTAGATTATGGGGCGGGTTGCGGACCACGTTCCGTCTCGGGTTATGGATATCATTGAGAGGAGCATGTTGGCGAAGCCGTCTAGAAGGGTGAGTGAGATGGTGTTAGCTTATGAGGCTGCGGTTCGAAGCAAGA